CTGCTTGCGTCGGACGCGAAGATGCACTCCTCGGGGACAAAAAGCCTAGCGCGGCCTTCCCTATATAGCCTTCAGTGGTCTCTGGTGGGTCGATGGGGCGTATAGGAGGCTATATGAGCCGTCTACCTTCGCCGCATGCATGCACCAAAGGGCTGCTTGTGTCCGGAGGTCATCAACCAGTCGGCGTGTACAGAAGGCGGCTTGACACACGTTGAACAAAGCGGATCAAAGAGCCACGAGCCCTTTCTCTTCGCCTGGAGCTGTAGACACAGGGATCCGCATTCAAAGCGAGAGCTACTGAAGCTGGGCACAACTGGCCGCCCGCCGCTATAGAGGTCGGCATTCCCATCGATTTTTGTGACCAGGCGTAGTGCCAACTGCCTCGCAGAATCCTTGCACAGGCATAGGAAAATGGCCAAACACATACATGTCCATCCGTATATGTGTCTTTATGAATTGTAAAACCCAGATAACATATATAATTATATTAGTTCTAGTTCCTCGACAATCACCCCAATAACCTTTCTAACACATAATAATGTATATAGTAATAACCGCATAAATCGCCGGTTATCGGGGCGCGATGACAGAGATGGCCTGGCGAAGCCCGGCAAGGGGAACAACTCCAAGTCGGGCATGAAGAACGCAGCGGAATTGGCAAGAGCACCCAAGGATCTGAAAAAGTTCCTGGCACACGAAATTGAATTGCCGCTTAGGGTAAATCTCATGCAATGCAATACCTCCCAGTTGCGCACCCTAATCCCCATATGTGTATATATATATATATGTTAAATACCCTATAGTTTTACAATAGAACTTAAAGCCAACTGGGAGGCATTGCATCGTATGAATAGGACCATTGTCAAGACTAGGGGGGAGTAAACCCTTGGGCTCAAGGCCTTCGGGCCTTCCCTGCCCCTTGGACGCCTTTGGGCTCCCCCCAGGCCTTCGGCCCCCCCCCTAGGAAGAAAAGAAAGAAAAGATGATAACCTCTGCCAAAAATTGTTTCTTCTTGCGCCCGGTCGGCAGGAAGCATCGAGCGAGCCTTAGGGAAGGATGCTCGGAGCAGGTGGCCCTGCTCTAGGCGTCTTTCTTCTAGGTTCCTTGATGTGGAACGCCGACCTTTCTTGGGGGCCCGGTGTAGGGAGGGCGCACCCCATTCCTTCCTTTCGCCTCCACTTCTGTTCAGCTCCTCTTTCCTCCAATCTCGAAACTATGCCTGTTTTTTTGCCATGATGTTTTGGGTTGACATGAAAGGGTTGAGCCCCAGAAGGCCACTTCGATAACCAGGCTTTGCAATTTTTGGGTTTCCCTGCTTTGGGATGATATATATTTGTTGCATGTTGTTGCAGTTTACGACACATAATTTGGGGCCATGACATATTGCTGGACAAATGCTTGTATGCAGTATACAAAATACCCCCAAGCAGATGACCGAGAAATTTTACCGCGGGCGTTCACAGTTCGGGGCACAAATCGCCTATATCATCTTTTTTTTAAGCACTGCGATGTGGGATACTCTCTGTATATACCGAATGAATGCAATGCAATGCCTTTGTCCAGCAATATCCACATGAATCACCTGGGTCCAGCCTTCCCGGTCCTCGCTCGCTTCCTGCCACGGCCAAGCCGTGGCCGTGCGTCGAATCCGACGCGCCAGCCGCGTCGATATGGAGGATGTGACGGCAGCTCTGCATGCATTATTAGCTGCAATTAATCTGCATTGGTCTGCATTGGTCTGCATCATTGATACATTTATTATTCTCGATGCCACTATTCGATCTGCCGCTATATTCGATATTTGCGCGCTATCTTCCGATATTCGGCGTTCTTCTCCGCGCCGCTGGGGCTTGCAAGAGTCGGCACTAGTCTGCACCAGTCAATTTGTTTTTCTTTGGTGGTACAGACCCCTTTTTGAAGCCACTGGAGAGAAGGCCGCAGTGGGAATAAGAAATAACCAAAGTTCCACCTATATAGAGACAAAGGGGATGGGGGGTGTTAGAGAGAGCCCCTGTTGTTCTCCTCATCAGCTTTATAACAGTATAACATTTGCGGTCCTGGACACTTTCGGCCTGCCGGCTCAGGTATCGGAATATCGCGCGTCTCTGGTCTGCATTCATCCCCGCGCGTCAGGCGCCGCGCTCGGACACCTTGTGATGTCTGCTGTATATGCTGCAAAGAACCTTCCTTCAGTACGAACGCTCAATGCTCCGGTGTAAAGTCACTATCCATTTGTAGGCTTAATTCTGCCTGTTTTGTGACGCCGGGCCAGGCCCGTCGCCTTCGACGCCACTGCCTCGTTCCCCACGCGTGATCTTTGCCTCGCGTCCAAGCCTCAAAGCTTCCATGTGTCGACTGCAGTGCATCAGCCATGTTGATACCGTCGCATGTTGAACCTTTGCATAGATGTGTGACCTGCCCGCAGCAATTTCCAAGCTTTAAAGCTTTCTGCCTTTCAGCGACTTTCAAGTGCCCTTGCTCCTTTGTCCGCGCCTCAGATCAAAGCTTCCACTTTTGTGCTCCGCTTATGTATTCTTTTCCTGTATATCTATCGCCGGTCACCCAGGCAATGGCTTGCATTGGCGACGTGACCTTGTTCAAGGGCAGCTGGGCCGACGTTGCGTTGGAGGAGGCGCGTTTCGAATGGTGCACCGGCGTGTGCACCTGAATCGTCGTGTGCCTTGCTGCATGCCAGGTTCCAGTGCCGTTGGAGGCACGGCTGCTTGCTTTCGGGCTTGGAAAGTAGGGCGGCTGCCACATCCCGTCCTGACAGGACTACGTCCTCCAAAATGAGGCACTGCTGGACGAGCTCCAGGAGGCGGTGGAGGCCCCGCGGTTTTGGATGGTTTTGGGATAACATCCCGTCGCGTTAATCCGATTAGTTTGCTTGCCACCTGTCAGGTCCCTTTCGAGGCGACGCGCACCTCCTTCACCTTGGGCGGCTCGGCCACGAAGAAGGCAGGGTCGCTGATAGCGTCTTATCTTCAGAACAATTTAAACTGTCCTGGTCTTGGCCGTGCAGGCACCGCGCCGTCGCGGTGGTACCTTCGTGGCAATGGAGCCGGAGAAGAATAAGCGCGCCAGCGCTGCAGCCTCAGTCCGTCTGTGCCATCTGTTTATACATCATGCAGCACCCCGACACGCCGGTGCCAAGGGACTCTCGCGTGCAGAGAAGCGCTGGCGCAACAAGGTCAACAAGGAGCGCGCCAAGGCGGGGCTTGGGAATATTTAATTTGGGACTTGGCCCCGCGCTCGTGTCGCTGGAGTGTGTCAGGCGGCAAAGCACCGCCGCGCGGCACCTTGTAGCGCAGCACCTGGAGGGGTCGCGACCTCAAAATGCCAATCATCAGAGCCAACTTGGCCTTGTGTTTCTTTCAACGGCCAATCTTCCTTTTGCCTCAAGGATGCCGGCACCGGCAAGCCGCCGTCGGTCCCTGCCTTAGATTGTATACGGACTGACTGTCGTTTCTTCTCTTCTTCTTCTGCTTTGCATAAGCCATTTTAAGGCGAAGCCTGGAGCGGCGTCCGCTCCCACTGCTCCGCTTTTCGCCTTTTCCAACCTTGTCCCCAGCTCAGAGGTCGTGCGTATATATATATATTATATATATATATATCGATTTTATTATATATATATATCCTGTCTGCCTTGCACGACTTTGCCTCAGGACCGTGGACAGGAGCGTCGGTTCATGAACCGACGCGCCCGCCAAGGCGCGTGCTGTCTTTTTTCCTTGTCCCCGCACCTCGTCCATCATCCATCCCTTTTCTCAGCAAGGTTTTGATCCGGCTCTTCTGGTATTTTTGTGAGTCTCATGCATTTTCCAAGGGCCGATACGTGCGCACAGCAGTCTCCATCAGTCTCCATTTCGAACATTTTACCCCACTGGCTGGTCTGTGCCGACAAGGTGGCTCCACACGCCGACTGGTTGTCGGGGCTGCGAGTCGGTGCACTGTGCTGACCACGGTGGACTAGGCACTAAGGGTCCAAACTGGAAATTGCGTCGTTCAGGCGTCTACTATCGTCCACAACTTTTGGTGGACAGGATGGACAGCGTTGCTTTCTTTACAGCTTAGAAACAAAGCACCACTTGAATCCAGAATTGGCTAGTTGGAACATCCCTGTCAGTACTTTCCAATTTTGGCTTGGGGGTTGAACCTCAAGATAGCAATTTTTGATCAACTTCAGTTGACAGGAACATAACGTGCAAGTTGCAAATTTGGTGGGTTCTGTTTAGACTGAGAGACGTCATTAAGTTTGGAAGATATTTGAAGCGAGCCAAAACCGCTAAAACCTCTCCATTTCATCCATTTAGTGATGCCCAGAAGGAATGCCCAGCCTTGTTTAGCCATTGCAGCCTATTTCATTGGGTCTCAGGCGTGGATCGCTGCTTTGCCAGTTTGGAATTCCAGGACCTGAAAAGGCGGGTCTGCAGCCTTGAGAGTTCACAATGGCTCCACATTGATAGAAAGGGTCCCTAGGGTCGTAAAATTCCATCATGGGATCATGAAGGGATACATCATTTCTATTCATTTCTCATAAATTACCCCCAAATAATACAAATCAGATATTCTGATATTCGTAGAATCTTGTCGCAGGGATATGAAGAGATGTTCTCCTGTAGTCTTGTAGGATGCTACTCGTACTTTTCTATCTCCAAATGCCAGGCTGGAGGGGTGGTGCGCTTTTTTTAGAGTTGAGTTGGTTGCATGCTCCAAATCCAAAATGTTGATCAGTTCATCCTCACAGCTGCAACTGGATCCGTTGTCATCAGCATGCTCAAGGTGCAATAGCCCTAGAAGGCCTTCGTATGTTGTTTGAAGCTCCATACAACATTTTTGTGCAGCAATGTTGCTTTCCAAATTGATCGTTACTTCTTATCTCTTGGCGTGCTGTGAAGTTGGAGACGCCAGACGCATTGTTTCGCACTTGCAGACTGCACGGGGTGCGTTGGAATCCAGTCGTCAGATACTCATTGCCATACAGCAGGAAATGCCCAGTGATGAGGAGGATGGAAAGGACATCGCCAAATACGTGGCCAACAAAAATCTCGGAGAAGTGTGAGCAGCTAAAGCAGGAAGAGGCACATCACACTGACCAGGCCAATGCTTCAGCATTTCGCAACTTGAAGGATAAATTGAAGGAGTCGAAGTTGTGCTCTGAGAATGGAGACAATGTTATTTCATCATTGTCTGAAAATGTGAAGAATCCGGCAATCGCCAAATGGATTTGCACTCAGGGCTTTGAACTGGCAGAGATCAAAGTCGATGAATCCGCCTGCCACGAGACCAGTGAGCTCCTCCTGGGTGGCTTGCAAGAGCTGTCCAGGTCTGGGGAACCAACGGTGCAAGCGGCAAAGCTGGGGCTGTACTTGGTGAGAGCTGCAGTGATTTTGGCCCCTCTACCTGGGCCCTTGGGTTGGATTCTGGATAAGGCCACTGAGAAACTCCTGAAACAACTCACCAAAGATGCGGAAGAAGCATTGGACAACTTGGAGAAGCTACTTCAGAATCTTACTTTGAAAAGTCAGACTTTTGATTTGTTCATTTGTTCCAGTTGTTCCAGTTGTGCCAGTTTAACATATATAGTTCAACTGTCGTTGTTTTTCCCTAGACTTGCAACTTGCAGAGGTTCATCCACGGGATTCATGTGAACCAAGGAGGCTCGAACAGAAGATGTGGGACATCAGCCGCAAAGTCGTGGCGGAGGAATTTCTGCGTGTTGGTGGAGAACAAGTGAAAGTGGCTGAAGATCAAGTGAAAGATATCGAGTCTATAGAAGAAGATGACCTGTGGCGTGATTTGATGATCGATTCCGTCGATTCCTCTTCTGGTCAAGTGCAAAAGATCATGGACGCAGCCGAAAAGGCCACCAGTTTCAACCGCTGGGCTGCCATTGAGCAAAGCTTAGCCACAAGCCTTGCCATTTTGCGACCTCCTGATTTCATGGACACTTCTGACGAGATGGAACCTTTCATCAGAGTCATGAAGATTCATTTCATGATCGAGCTCACAGTTCTTTCGCATATGTTTAAAGTGGTGAAAAATACGAGCGGAAAGAGCTTCAAAAAAATGGTCGTGGCCAAAGCACATCGTGCTGCCCTGGCTGTTTTTCCATACTTGTTTATCATTGGTGGTGACCAAGCTCTACTGGAAACCTTGAAATCGCCTTTGCTGCAACCAGATCCAGTGGAGAATCCAGAAAGAAACCCTTGTAAGGAAACCGGTCACTCACTGGTCTGCGTGTGGTTGGAATTGCTGAGCCATTCATCAAAGCGAGATGCCCAAACTTTCAAAAGGCCTCAGGTGTTTTGCAAGAGGGAGCGTCTCAGTGACAGCAAGTACTACCAGCAGACACAGACGTTTGATTTTGGCACTCATGATGGCGAAGGTGAAGGATTCGGAGTCTTCATCCATTATGTGAACAATACAGAGGAGCTTTTGAACTTCAAATGTTCCAGGGATGAGCAATACATTTCTCAATTTCAGGAGATTCGTGACGAGAGCAAGTATTGGGGAAAAGACACAGTAGCAGGAAAATGTACGAAACTGGAGAAAGGGAGGGTGAAACGTCATTTGAAAGTCACATTCAGTGGCAGTTTGTGTTCAAATAAGTTGACCTATGGTGATGTCTCAGTGGGTGAGCTCGTGTCAGTGAAATTTGAAGAAGAAACCCACGAGCAGGTTCCTTGCGATCACCCTCATTGGCAGTTTAGCCGAAAATTGAAAAGCAGCACTTGCTACATTTCAAACATCTACATGCCCTGAGGACACTCAGACTGCAATCGGATGGATGGAAAAACATGGTTGTTTCTGGTTGCGCGACTTCGGTGTTTGATATGCATGGTTCGACCTTGATTTTTTTGATTGTCAATATCAGCATGTATCAGAAAGAAGTGTCTATTTTGATCTGGTTTGTGTAGTGTAGCCGTTCACAGCTCCCCAGAAGTTCCCTTTTCTTGTGGCCAAGATCTTCCCACCCTGGGATCTCGATGGCTACTCATGGCCGGGCTGTTGCAGCCGGAGATTTGCGAGGCAAGGAAGGTGATCCAAGTGGGATCCGGTCAAAAATCACTAGTAAAGAAAATCAAGTTGCGAAAGTAATTCTAGACAATAGATTCATTATGTAGCGGGCCCCCAGCTAAACACGGCATTTCTGCAGCTTGGCGCTAGGTTCGCGTTGGCAGTGCGCTAGCATTTTTTGGTTTTAACTTTTTAACATTCCCATGAAGTAGTTCACTTGTACATTTGGCTTGGCGTTGGAAGGCAGTTTCTTCGTATTAGGTGGAATTGGCATGGTATTGAGAGGATGTGACAATATGTGACAGCTATTTACGACTCTTGCACACTTCTGGGAAAAGACATTTTGACCAGCCACCATGTATATGTTATTATGTA